GCTTTGGGACAGTGTCACTATATGATGGCAGAAGATATCCCCAATTAGGGAACATATTAATTCAATGACTAAATCAACATCCTTTTTAACAACACAATCCCCAGACTTATAAAGAGTCAAGTGTAGCATGCAAGAAGTGATCCAGCCAGTTTTTCATATCTTAGTCACTATTCATCGATTGCGCAACGCATGGAAAACTTCCGCTCCCTCGGGCACAGAGGAACGACACTAGATTAACGAAATGCCTTGGGGTTGACAAAGATGGGAATGGAAAGAATGATTATGATGCGCATAATGAAACAGTGGTTCCCACATGGTGTTCCGCGGAACCTTAGGGAAGTGGTTCCTAATTTTTTTCTCAACTGGGGAATCCTAAATGATCATCCTTGTTTTGGAGAAGCAATTTAATGAATAAATTTTAAATACGCGTATTGATCTAAATTTTATGAATTATTTTGAAAATATTTAGAAAATGAATTTGTAAAACATGAAATTTTTTCTTCATATCGTTTTATCAATCTAAATATTGGGTTTTTATTTCAGACAGCTGAATTCGCAGCGGCATTTAGTTTAGTTCTTAATTTGATTTTAGTGTATGCATAAGCTGAAAATAAATTAGCTAAAATATCGTTTCCGCTAAAATAAAAACGAAAACGGACGAAAATAAACGTTGCATTCAACATTTTTCGTTGTTCGATTATTTTTATTCCATGTGAAATACGAATGCAAATTTTCACATCATTCATTATATTATTATTAGGAAAAACATAGTTTTGAAATTTCTTTACACGCTAACATTTAATAATTTTATAAAAAGAACGGAAATCATGGATAATTAATTGGATTTAAATTTAATATCAAATTATAAAAATCATAATTGGTTAAAAAATATCCTACTTCTCGGAACTCTTCCACGAAACCCTAAGGTACCGCGGAACCTTACCGCTATCTTAGGGTTCCGTGGAAGAGTTAAAGGGCTTCCGCGAGACATCTTTTATAACCAGTAATATAATTATAACCTCTGATTATATTTAGATCCCCAACCCATGATTCATAATTCAATTAATCTTACGCTTGTCTTCATGAAATTATTTCAAGTGAAATGCCAATGAAATAGAAATGGCATTTTTAAAAGGAAAAAATAATATTACAAATAAAAATATATTAAACAAATTATGAAAAAAACAAGCATTTATAAAATATTCCATTAGTATTTCATATCAAGCTTTTCAAATTTAAAATAACTAAATTCTTTAATAAAAAAATATGTTTTTATAATATCCATTTTCAAAGTTTATAACATTCTTCTGAGTTTTCATTTCGAAGAAATGCATGATTTTCAGAAAGCATAAATACGAATATCAATGCCTAGCTTTAAAATCTGGCATAAATACGGAAATCGATTTGTGATATTAAAAACGTGTGAAAACGAATCGTGATCAAAGAGGATTCCCATGCAGTTACAAAATATTCAAACTAGCGATAATCCTCCAAACCAAAACATTCAAAATGTAAATTTCAGGTTGCGGAACTCCGTAAAAATTTAATTAGATTTTCATATGAACCTATAGTTTTGAGACATGTGGAATTCCGCAACATTCCCGAAAAAATCACATGCTCTGCTCCTAGTTTTTAGACCTGGGAGGATGAAACTAAAAACCTGGATTTTCTTTTAAATTTTCTATCTTTAGAGTTTTGTTTATGGAAAATCCTCTTTTCACAGTAGCCAGCCAGAACATAGGATAAAATTAGCTACTTTTCTATGTCAACGGAAAAATATTGATACAAAAATGTATCCAACCTTTGCTCTTTATTATCAGATAGGAATATTTTACTATTCGAAAGCTAAATGATTGTTCTGCATTTTGGTGTCTAAGCAGGTACTTCATGATACCAAAACGATTATACACCTCTTTTTGAAATACTAGATACATATACTTTCTATAAATTGATTTAGCTTTATTCATATATATAACAAAGTTGAACCTTTCTTTATTCAGTTATGAAAGTATTAATAGTGTTGATAAAGTTAACAATTTTAATTCTTTCCGAACTATTACCTAATTTTATTTTAATAGTAAACATAAATGACAAAATTTTTTAACAATTATTAAAAGATAAAATCATGGGAATATTTCCAGATTGGTACCTGAACCAAAATAATTTCCAAGTTAAGGTAAGAGTCACACCTACGGGAAGATTTTCGTATTAATACCTAGGTGCCTATACCAAATAAAATCGCCATCAAAAATAAAAATAATAACAGAAGGGTGCTAACTTAAAGGGTATAACTCATAGATGCCTTTGTGCAAAAGGGGTACTGGCACTATAACAGGCACGAATCGGGAAATATCTCCAAACTTATTTAAATTTTTGTCATATTTAAATGTTAGATTGATCACCTGATCATAATAATTTTTTTAGTGGGGGCGGGGAGGGAGATTTCCGTAACATGATCTGTGGCAGAATATTTGCCAAATCTTAGCAACTTCTGGGCAGCAGCCCGCAAGAAGCAAGAAACTAAAAAAAACATCACAGAAAGGGACCGACTCGAAAGGTATAACTCGTAACCACCCCTGGACAAACATCTACATGTTTTTTGGGGTTTTTTTTAAAAAAATTGCACTTTGTAAATTGTAAAATCTATTTGGCACCTTGGCGATTGTAGTTGATCACGATACGGAAATATCCCCCTATATAGATTTAAGACATGGCACTACAATAAAAATAACATGAAAAAACTTCAAGTACTTATTTACAACTTTTTAAGAAGAATCTTGTGTCAAGTGGTTCAATAAAATTTGTAAAGCAAAAATTTTAAGAAAAGCAAAACAGAAACCAATTGATCTGGAAATTAAAAAACACGACTGGAGATGGATTGGTCATGTTCGACATAAACCAGAAAAATTTAAAGTACAAATTTTTGATCGGAACCCTCAAGGAAATAGAAAAAGACCTCAAAATGCTTTGTGCATGACGATTGTAAACGAATTGAAAAAATTACAAAAGACATGGAGAAAGGCAAAATAACTGGCCACAAATAGAGTGAGATTGAAAACTATCATAGAAGCTCGATACTTCAAATGAAAATGTGGCGTAACTACCACTATAAACATTAAAGACCAATTCACTAGTATATAAGACATGTTAACCTTATTCTATCACGAGGTATCTTATGATAGATGAAGGTTGGCATAGTCTAAGATTAAATCCCCGCAATAGGGACCTGCGGAAGTGATATGAACTTGCCAACGTTAATGGATGATCCACATTAAACAGTTGATTTGCTTAATATACTGCGCAAAGAAAGAAAAAATTTCGGTTAAGTACATAAAGTCTCCTGGTTAATAAACAATATTGAAAAAATAATAATGACAGGGTGGCCACTCAAATCAGATTTCAAATTTCCCTGATTTTTCCAGGCTTTCCAGATAAAAATCTTAAAATTTCCAGGTTTTTGTTTCTTTTTTCATATAAAGTATAGGATGTGTACAAGTAAAGTGTCGATATTGTAAAATATTTTATTCAAAATGTTATTTTTTTAACATATCATCTTGAAAAAAATAATTAATTTGGACAATTTTCAAGATTTTTTTAAATTTATTTTTTAATGTTTTGGTACAAAATATCGAATCAAAAATCATATTGACCAACAAAAGAGTAAAATTAAATATAAATATATAGTTGGTTCTTAAAAAAACATTTTTTTTTAAATTAAAATATGTTATAAAAGGTTAAAATGAAATTGAAAAAATTATCTTTAATGCAAAAATTTTAACAATTTGCCGACAAGCATTGCTGTTAGCGATTGTAAAAAAAAAATTGTGATTGGTTGGTTTGCTGAGAAAAAATAATTCACAGATTTCTTTGAATGGGAGTACAAAAGCTTTCAGAAAAAGAGTGCAATATAAAATATATTATTATTGAATTAAAACTAACTAATTTCTGGAGAATTCCATAAAGTTAAAAATACAAAAACACTTTGTTAAAATAGAAAAAAATTACCACCAAAGCATCGGAACAAACTTGAGCCCTAAATGGATTCAGCCCAAGGACAGAATTTAAAAACAAAAGCTAATATCCTAATCCCTTCCTCCACCTCCACCACAATCTTTTCTAAATTGCACAGTCCCATAGCATTCAAAGGTTTCTACATTCGTTTAGCAACTGTGAGAGAATTTTATGTGGCATCATTCTAGTCTAACAGAGCTCTAATGGAACAAATTTTTATGCAAGCAAAGTATCGCTAAGTTGATGATATTTCAATTGTTTGGCGATACATTTCCGTCTAAAAAAAAGTGGGCATAATGGATGAAATAATTTAAATTAGTGAGATTAAAAAAATTATCGAAAGAAAAATNATCCCTTTCAGAACACATTTCTCTGCAACCACATGTTCACCGTAGGAAAGGTTTCTTCATGTAAGACGTTTGCATTTTTTGTGCATGAATGTAAGATGGACAAATACCTTGTTAAGGCGACATCTTCTACTCCGTAACGGACAAATGAAAATGAAGCAAATGTCGGTAGAAACGGTCAAAACGAAACAAATACGGAAATATAATAGCTGATGAAAAAGTAGATAGAGAACATTTTACATATGATGATGCAGCAAAAATATTCAATTAGAAGATGTCAAAAATGTATTATAATTAAAGAAATAATTTTTTTCCAAGTCAATTCGTGTTTTTTTCAATCTTAAGAAATCTCACTTAATTTTTTGAAATCTCACCCTGTTTTTGAAGAAGGGTGAGAAATTCTCTCCCACTTTTTATCTGTAATGAAAGCACTGTATTCTCACTCTAATTGTAAAAAAATAACAATTATCACTATCACTTGTTCTTAACATGATTAAGAAATATATATTCACTTTAATAACTATTCTATTAAGTAACTAGATTTATTGAACTTTATTTATGATTAAAATATCAAAATATACATTGTTAATAAATGAATTAGTAGTTTAATGATTTCTTAATTCATTATCAAGATCTACATACCTGAAATTCTTTTTCATACTGATCATCATATAATTTTTTTCGAGCTTCGTAATCTTCGAAATGATTAAGAAAGTTTCTAAGTACTGTTCTAAGAGGTGGTTTCATAATGGTGTTTAATTGTCAATAAATTTATATGCATTAAAATTTACATACTTCAAAGATAGACACTCTTTTATTGTTCTAAACAAATTTTAATCTTAAATAGGCATATTCGATCTCAAAATCTTTGAATGGAAATTTATAAGCATAAATTATCAAAAAAATATATCACCAAGCACTCTTTATGAATGAGTAATAAATCTAATTTGTTATTAAAGACTTAAATGACTTCGAAAACGATTTTCTGCTTGTCGCCCCAAAATTTACAAAACACAATTGTAGAAATAAAAAATTTGTTGCCATCTTTCTTAAACTAAAATAACATTAAAAAATTTACTATGATAAAAACTTCATTAAATATTGTACGCATAAATTTATTAGGAATTTAAAAAATTTACAAATAAAAAAATCTGAAGAAAGTAGTTAACCTTTAAAAACTCATTAATTTTATTATTTATTTTGTTAACTCTCAACTCCACTCGTCTAAATAAGTTGGTCATCAAAATAAACAAGCTTTTTGGTCAACTTGTAAAATAGGTGGATGTTTTTCTTTCTCAAGGTTATTACTCTACCTGAACGACTTAATTGCATTATCTTGTTAAATTTAAGAGTTTTTTATATATTTTTAAACAAAAAGTACTCTTTTGAAATATGTAACAGCAAGAGTCACTTTTCTGAATGTTAAAATATACCTATAGATATTTCTTTCCTCTGAATTTTTATTTCATTACTCTGTTTTGAAAAGTTGATATTTTTAACTTGTTAATTCTTTTGTTATAGGGCTTAGTAAAAGTAACTTCAATTATGGGCAATAAATCTTCTCTTATGTTGCAACCCGAGGAGATAGCGGAGATACACCATGAAACTGGGTGTAAGTATTATGTAACTTCGCCAAATATCTAAATTAAGTTTTTTGTTTGAAGTTATTGCCCTATAGCTTCCTGTATGAAACATTTTTAATTTCTAAACCTTCATGTTCTTTCATGTAGTCTTAAAATGATACTTCATAGTAATTAATCTCCTCAAATTTAACAAACCTATAATGTGTACATAAATGCTGAATAAACATAAATGCAAATAATCAACAATTGTTCCACTTTATTTATGAATACTAATTAATATTTTTACAAATAATTGAGTGAATAACAACATAATTCTAAATTAAATAACTTTGCATTATTTTTTTCTATAACCACCATTGACCAGCTGACCCAATTTTTGGTTTACGACTTAATATTCAACTCCATAGCCTTGTAATTTTGAACCAACTCAAAAGACAAGGTATCTCCTTGATTAGTATCCCGAGAGGTATGATTTGTTATGGGAACATGGAGGACTTTGTACCTTGACAGATTTAACGTGCTTCAATCACCATTTACTGCAGGAGGAATCTTCGGCCGGTGGGGATGGAACCCACGACCTCTTGGTAATGGGCACAGTACCCTACCAACCAGGCTATATGCGCCTTATTTAAATATATTGAACTCTTTTTTTTGGGGGGGGGGTTACATTGACTAGCTCGAACTTTAACTGAAATTTAATCAAATTAATTGATGCAGTTACGAATTTAATCGAGATTAATTTTTTTATGAAAGAATTACTTGGCAATTTTGCTGCTGATCCGACACGTGCTTGTGTATCCAAATTATTCCTAATAGTTTTAGGGATGCCAACAGCTCCATTTTGTGCAAGATTTCTTGAAAATTGGTTGAAGAAATAGCAATACCTTAAGAATGAGGTCAGTGACGTCCACTCTTTAAAAGTGTCACCACGAGATGTCTGTAATAAAGTTGTTTGTATTTCATAAGATTCTTTGAATTTTTGATTTGCAGTGGTGGAAAATTTACTTAAAATAAAAAGTACTTAAAGAAACAATATTTTTTTACAAATCAGAGCAAGTTACCATCTCTAGTAGTTCATCTTGAAAAATCATAGCAAGATGTTTATGATCATTAAAACTATGTTTGCCAAAAATATGATTTTCTCTCCCCAATTGATTGTATATTGAAATAAACTTATTGTGAGTATTAAAAACTAAAATGGTTGCCAAAGAAAGAAAAGGTAACTTTTATATTTTAACGATTACCATTTTTGAATGATAAATGCAGCATAATGACCTGTTTTCAGCTGGCTTTGAGTGTTTCAGCAGTTTTAAAAAGCTTTGAAATTGGTGCATCATAAAATAAAAGAGGATACGGTATTACAAAATTTATCTTTTCATTTCGACTTTATAAGTTGTAGGGCTACTTTGTCTGTTGTAGATAAAATTATGACTTAAATGTACGTAGTACATTCAGGTTATAATTTTGTCTATGAATGTACGTAGTCAGGGGCCTGTCCCAGCCAAATTTACTACCGTTTAGCGATACCTTCACAAATTCAACTTCGGGGGAAACGGTATTTTCACAAAATACATTTTCTTAAAATTTTATTTTTGTATCCCACAAGAAATGATAAATCCATATTTTTACCACACTTTTGTGTTAATTTTTTAATATAATTTTGAATTTTTTGCAAATTATGTCTAAATTTTCACAAAATAGGTACTTCACAGGAAAACCTAAACAAACCCCTGGTAGTACTCCCCTTCTAGGAACTATAATATGCTTTTTATATGCATTAATATGAAATATGTATTAGAACCATTTCAAAACTAGTTCTTGATTATACTTTCAATATTGTGAATAAGCCTGTGTTTTTTATAAAACGAGAATAGATTGCAAAATTATAAATAAATTAAAAATTATCGTAAATAAATATTTGTGATTAAGTGAGAATATTTCCATATTGGTGCATGGGTTAAAAAAGTTGCTGAAGTTTGGAGAAAAAAAACTAGTCAATGGTGCATAAAAAAACTAACAGCATTTACTAAAAATGACCAATTGAAAGCTTCATTAGACTCATAGCCTCAATGCAGTAACCACAATGTAATTTTTTAGATACATGCTAAAGCAAAAGCTCTTTAGTGCCTTGGCTATAATTATTGACAAGAACAGGTATAAATGTGAACTGTATCCCTGCCAAATATCTATCCAACATTCTACGTTTAAGAAAGATTAATTGTTTATTCTTTACGTATTTTAAAGATAATAAAAATTTGTCTAACCAGCTAATGTTTTATTTCATAACAATGTCTTTCTTAATCTTTGCTTTATTAAAACAATATTAGATAGTAAATGAATGGATAACTGCATGGAGAACTGAGCATAACCAGAGATGCTAACTTTCTCTGCTTTATAGAAATTATTTTCTGGTGTTTGCAAACAGTGTGTTTTAATGCATGATTCATGAATAATTTAAAAGTTCATATAAAACTAAATTTTTTTCATACTGTATAATACTGTTTCATGCTGTATGGGCTTATGTATATGTTTTATTTTATACTACAGTAGGGAACCGATTATCCGGAACGGTCGGGTCCATCGCTATTCCGGATAACTGATTTTTCCGGTTTTCTGAATCGCTACAAAAAACCGTTTTTTTTTTTATTGTTAAACCCAACTAAAAAAAAAAAATTTTGGAAATAATCTTAAAAATAAGAAAAAACGATTAAGTAATACACTAATGATTATTTCCAAAATGATGGTAAGGTAAACCTCTTTAAATAAAGAAAGAAAAATCGTAAAATCTTACGAGGAGAAAAAAAAAATTTTTTTAAATGGCGAGAAAATTTATCGAGTTTTGTTCCGGATTTTTGGTTTTCCAGTTTTCTGATTTCCGGATAACGGGTTCTGTACTGTATAACCACTGTTGAACAGCTGACCCAATTTTGATTTTACGACTACCAGTGTTCAACTCCATAGCCTTGTAATTTTTAACCCAATCCAAACGACAAGGGAACTTCTGGGTCAAGTATTCGGAAAACATTTTCCTTTGTGAAGGACTTTTTGATGAAACTAACCCCCTTTCGCATTACATGGAATTGAAAATGTCCTGTGGTTAGCCTGATGGCAAGAGGACTCTAAACAATGATCCGTCTACCACTGAAGACATTTTATGCCTGCACTGTGGCTTGTGCTAGCCAGGTGCGGAATTAGTATCGACCAGCCATCACTGGGGTTCAAATGAGGGTATCCTCATTAGGAGGCGAGTATTCTGTCTCCTGAGCCACCACAGCTCTCTTTGTTTACATCAGGGATAGGCAAACTTTCTTGGTCGTGGGCCAAAAATCTGGTAAAAAAAGTTTGCTGGGCCGAGTAAGAACTTCTAAAATGAAAATTCTAACTTCTGAAATAAAATAAAGTCAAATTCATCATTGAGCGCATGGCACTCTGCATCAACTTTGCATTTTTTAGTTGCCATTTTGGGATTAAAAATATTTACAAATAACTCAAAAAGGCAGTACCCATTTCATACATTTAATAATTTCACCATTATTCACAATGACTTTGTATGTGTGCAGCCTTTCCATAAGCAGTAAATTATGTTAGAACTCACGCCGGAAGAAAAATCCGCTCGTTAGAATTTAAAATGCGTAGTAAGCCTCATGTGAAATACAATTCACCTATATTAGATTCCATATGTCTGCTCCTCGAGAAAGACAAATACTAGTTGGAGCTAATCTACGGCTATTCTATAAGGGACTTTTACTTTCAACATTTTATCAATTGAAGCTGTTAATGTTAACTATTTTAATTAATTTATGTTTTGTAGAACGAAAATAGAGAAAGTTAAAATTCTGTCCGCGGGCCGGATAAAATCTTCCGGCGGGCCACAGTTGGCCCGCGGGCCGTAGTTTGCCCATCCCTGGTTTACATTGTCTACAAAGTTTCGTTTTTAGTACTCTACCACTTTATAAAAACTTTTCCTGAAAGCGGAGCAGTTGGCATCCGTGCATAGTGTCACTATGAATTAAAATTTGTACTAACAACTTTGGAATTTTTTTCTGAGATATTACTTTTTTGCCTAATCTTAAAATAACATATCCTATATTGTTGTATTCACAATAGGCCTTGTGTTATTTACTATTCAATTTGTAATTCCATTTAATTTTAGCAGAAGACAAAAAAATTAACATAAAACTCAAAACTTTTACACTTTTTATATATCATGTTATTAATTTCTTTAAACAATTTGTGAAATATGGGCCTTTTGTATGTTATAACATGCATAAAAATATTTTGACTAGTAAAACTACTTCTTTCAAATTTAAATACAATTTTAAGTTTTAAAGCGCCCTAAAATATTAAGCCTATTCACACATCTTTTCATAGATATGACATAAAACATAAGCTGAAGGATGGTCTGGAAATTTTCAAATTTCTGTTCCAGTTTTAGAAACTTGTTAGTGTTTATGCTGTGTCTCATTGATACTAAAATTGTTGCGTATTTTTATTTTAAAGATCAATGACTTGATCTAGTATGCTTGATAATATTACTTAATTCTACAAACTTTTTTGATTCAATTTTATAAAGTTCATAGAGACAATATCTATAAATTGTGAAATAGTGGTAATCTGGTTTGACTATTTAAGATGAATTTAAATGTTATGAGTGGTTATTTAAGGTTTTTCTTTAATTCTCCAAGAAATTAATATCAAAATATTTTAATTTTATATTTCCCTATAGTTTTTTTTTCTTTCTTTTTTATAGTTTCTCCTAGCCAAATTGAAAGACTCTATAGCAGATTTACAAGTTTAGACAAGACAGATAATGGCACATTGAGGTAAGTAAAATATCAATAATATTAACATAATAAATAATCAATTTATTAAAAAACATCTAGTAAGTAAAGTAGGGAATTTTCACCTTGCTTTTTTATTTATGTTATATTCTGCATAATGTTACAGGCAATTTTTTCCCGACTGTTTTTACACTCAATATCTTCTTGGAGCCTATGTATGATGAACTGAAATATGTTTTAGAAGTTTTTTAATAATTTACTAAAAGCATTTCTCTAACATTACTTTTTTTTATTTTTAAAAAGTGTTTAAAAAATAAATTATTTAAAAAATGTATTAATTTTTGTATGTATGCAAAGTCCAGCAAGATTTTAAGTTTTTCTTGTGACATCTGGAACATCATTATTACTCATTGTGTTTTGGTAACACTTAAACTCCCAGTTTGTGAATCGAAGTTTAGTTCGACTATCGCCTTCAATAAAAGATTTTTGTGTTTTAACCTAGTTAGTTTTTATTTAGTGTTACAGGTATCAATATAGCTAACAAATTATGTTACAATGGTTTTATTGATATTCCTGGTCCTTTTGGTTTGCTTGTTCAGAAAGCACTACAGTAGGGAACCGATTATCCGGAACGATTTGGACCATCGCTATTCCGGATAACTGATTTTTTCGGTTTTCTGAATCACTACAAGAAGCCGTTTTTTTTTTATTGTTAAACCCAACTAAAAAACAAATATGTATTTGGAAATAATCTTAAAAAGAAGAAAAAACAATGGAGTAATACTCTAATTATTTCCAAAATGATGGTAAGGTGATGATCTTTCAAAAAAGAACGAAAAATCCTGAAATCTTATGAGGAAAAACAAATTTTTTTTTTTAAAAATGGCGGGAAAATGTATCGAATTTCGTTCCGGTTTTTTGATTTTCCGGTTTTCTGATTTCCGGATAACGGATTCTGTGCTGTATTTCAACTGAACTGAATCATTTCTTTTTTTCATTTTTTTTTTCAAGTTTCTTTCAGTAGAAAAAAATTACCAAAAATCAGACCAATCATTGTCAAAACCAGTATGTTTTTATTTCAAAACTCTGAAATTGTGTATCTAATGAAGAGGAAATAGTTTAAAAAATTAAAATACTTTATTTTCCTCACAACAAATTATTGCTGAATCAGTTTTAGAATCTGATTAAATACAAAAAAAGAAAAAGAATAAAAAACTTTATTGAAATGCTATTTGAAATAAAAATAAATGTTGTAAACTATGTTGTATAACTGAAAATGTCAAAGTAGCAAACTGTAATGGATTGTTTGTCTTAATGTGAATCTATCTAATAAATGTTTCTTGATAAATAGTTTGATTTTGACTTGATGACTATAAATAAGACTGTAAATAAGCGACTAAATAAACTTTTAAATATTAGCTTATAAAATTCACCAAGTTTTATTTATTGGTAAATTACGACAAACATTTTTGAATGTGTTGAGTAAAGTATTTTTTTTAAAAAAATGCAAAAATGATTATAAGCAAATTTCTGAAAACAATTTAGGTTCATGATAAAATTTTAGCATATAAAATGCATAAAGCTTTATTTATTATGTTGCAATATACAATTTTAAGTGTTATTAGTTACAAATTTAACAACAATTTTACATTTTAAAAATTTTTTACCAAAGCAGGGCTGATTGTGCTCCGGAAAAAATCTGAATTTCCGGAATTTTCACTAACAGTGATCCGGAAGTTTCCAGAGATCGAAGGTCCAGATGTTTAAAAAAAATCATTGATCGCGGAAGTTTCTGGAAATCAAATTTTCAAGGGTGGAGCTTAAAAGCACAGTTTATTTTATTTGTTTGTAAGGGTGAGCCAGAAATGTACTTCATAAGCTTATATTCATGATTAATATTCATTTTTTATCAATAAATAGTTGTTATAATCATAAACTCAAGAAAGAAAGACATGTTTGTAAATTTTAATTACTTCTCCAGGTCATCATTAGTATGTGTAAAATTTTAAATATATTTTAAGTAAACTAAGAAATATTGAGAAAAAAGAAAAACCCTTGTTTAAATTTTTTTCTAATTTTTCCATTTAAACAGTTTTTTTTTTTTTAACTCAAGAAATTTTACGGAATTTTGACTTGGGCTCACAATCACCCCTACCAAAGTGATAATAACCAAATTTGTGAAATCAGTTCATGCTAAAACCTTCTAAGTTTATTTATTTTCTGTGTATTTCTTTAAAAAAAAAAGTGTAATAGTAATCATAGTAGTGATATAGCTCATAAAATACTTCATTTTTTAATGCCTTTAGAAATTAATAAAATTCATATTTCAGCAATAAATTCATGATTGCACATTGAAACACCTCTTTGTTAAATCAGTTAAAACTCACTTATACTAAATCATTCAATCAGTATATGCTAGCAGTCAAAAGTTTACTTATATTTTCGTCTTTAATAAGGGTATCTTTTTCAGTCGAGAAGATTTTCTACGAATACCTGAATTGGCTATAAATCCATTGGGAGATCGCATTGTGCATGCCTTTTTCAATGAGGCATATGATGACAGGATTAATTTCCGTCAGTTTATGAGAGTTCTTTCCCGATTCCGTCCTGTGAAGAAAAACAAAGAAAACAAGCTGAATAGCCGTGAAGAAAAACTGCGTTGTAAGTTATTTTTTGCATTCTGTTTTGTTTTTTTTCTTCCCATTTTCTACCTATTTGTTTTTTTATTCTTTTTTTTTGCACTGATAATTGGAGCAATTATAAAGTTAAAAGTTTAAAAATTATTTTAAACCTTTTTTTTTTTCATTGTAATCGTTTATATTTATTTAAGCTAGTTAAGATTGTTTTATAAATTTTTAAACCCTTTTTTGGCACAGCATGCTCTTTATTTTCACCCTTGCTCTATTAAACCCTACAATCAATTGCATTCAATTATGCCAATTGGTTCAATTTATTATAAATTATTATTAGTAGTGTGATCCTAGCTAGATCTCGAGGATTTAAATAAAGAAAAGCTTAGTACAAAATATTTTTATTAATAACAAATAGCACACGGACAAACATAAATTTGAATAATTACAAGAAGTAGGAAAAAGAAGGTCCATTCTGTCCAAAGTCTGAGCATCTACTGCCTGTTCAGATGGCGCTGTATTTGCTTGGCGATGTGGTTGCTACAGTAGTATATTAGTTTAATGACCCAGTGTATTTGTGCAGATTTTTTTCAGATTGAGCCCACTAAAATAAATTAAAAAGCATTTTTATATCCACAAACTGGTTTTTCAAATTTTATCTAAACTAAAAATAAACCCCCATCAGTTGGATTTTCTCTTAAAAATCCAGGTTTTGGCAAACCCTGACCAGAGTTCAATTGTTTAAAAAGAGTCCTATGTCTAAGCAAGCCATAGGTTAAAGAATTTTTCTTTTTACTGGAAAAAAGTCTAATTTTTTTAATGATATCACAATTATTTTAATTTTATCATTATTTTATTTCGTTTTTTCTTTCACTATTTTAATTTTTGAAGAAGAAAATGTTATCTTATTAGCAATATTTTTTCATGAATATTATTGAGTTACAAATTTATTTGTTTTTAAAAAAAATTTAATATGTTTGTAGAAAAAGTTTTTTGAAAAATATATACTTTCATTGCAGTTGCTTTCAAGATGTATGATCTGGATGATGACAATAAAATTTCCAGAGATGAATTGTTAGCTGTATTGCACATGATGGTTGGAGCTAATATTTCTGAAGAACAAGTAAGTATTTTATAGTCTTGGTATATCATTGTTCCTGAAGCAGTCTGACTTTCTAATAAACAATTAAGAAGATGATATTTTATTGCCATTTACCTTATTTTGTTACAGAATCTCAGTAATATGATTACTACCCCAAATCATCCCGCCAAAGCGTAATTTTTTCCAAAACAAGCATTTTTGCAAAAAATTGCGTCAACGGTATTCTAAGTGCCTTAAATAGACTTTAAAAAGTTTTTAATTTTAAATATGGTTTCAAGGACAAGGTATATCTTTACTTATATATTGAATGTAGGTTTTGAAAGTTTATGATAAAATCTCTGTAATGTTCTGATATAAATAAAATTTAATGATTGACAGAAAAAAGCCTTGAAAATTCAATAAAAGGACCTTTTATTGAGCTATAAGTTAGTAGTGGGAATCTTGCTAAAAATGTCAATCAATTCATTCTGGCTATCCCAAAAAAATTATTAATTTTGCTCCTTAATACGCAATTTTGTCCTATAATTTTGCTTTGTAGTGCAGAACTTAATTTTTTTATAATTTCAATTACTGATTTAATAATTTAGTTCCATTGTAATTTTTTAAAATTAATTGTTTTAAAAGTGCAAGGATAAACAAAATAAATGCTTGATTTTAGATAACTTTAATAACATTAATATGGTGCCATTGCTCTTTCCATTCTGATTTGAATAACCTTTAAGAATTTATAAACAAAAAAAAGTCTTGAAAATTCAATCAAAGGTCCTTTTATTAAGCTAAAAGTTTGGAGTGGGAACATTGCTAAAAATGTAAATCAATTAATTCTGGCTATCCCTAAAAAAGTATTAATTTTTCTCCTTAATACATAATTTTGCTCCTTAATACATAATTTGCTCTTTAGTGCATAGCTTAATTTTTTTTTCATTTCGATTATCGTTTTAAATTATTTAGTTTCATATTAATTTTTTAAAATTAATTGTTTTTAAAGTGTAATGATAAACAAAATAAATACTTGATTTTAGATGACTTAAGGGAAACAAAAAAATTATTAATTAAAAATTATGGTTTTATTGTCCTCACATGTCATCTATCTTTATCCTTCAGTTTACCTGATATGGAGAGTAAAATATAATTAACTATTAAATCTTCATTTATGATTATACAGGGCTTAGTTACATATATGGCAGTACTTTTACTTTCATTACTTGTACCGCTGGTACAAGTAGAAAGTACGTACTTTTACTTGTACTTCGTTACTTTTTAAATTTAGTACTTTTACTTGTACATTCGTTACTTTTTTAAAGAAAAAGTACAAGTATTTGTAACGGAAATATCGAATGAAATCGTTACTTTTTTCTAAAACTCGGTAAGCTTTCTAAGAAAAAAATTAAATTAAAAAAACTGCTTATGTTTTTTTAATTTATAAAATTAATGAGCAATATATATACATTCATACCTAACTTCGTGTTTAAATACCTTCTGTTTCAACTTATACTGCACATTCAATTATTTTTTACTAGCTCAAAGATCACTAGCTCAAAGCTATCTGAAACCCCGTGTTTGCTTTGTTTATGTTTGTGCTTTTAAAACGCATTTCTAAAGAGTAAAACAATTTTAAATCAATGGTAATTTAAATAAATGAAAATAATAAACTAAAATTTAAAATCAATAGATAAAATTTCTTTTTCGTCAAATCCATAAAAAGTTTGATATTAAAATCATATATAATTTTAAAATTATATTATACGATTATATTATAAAATTATATTATAATATTCTTCCGAATTTAAAAATAAATTGATATCCATAACTTTCAAAACTAAAAATAAATAAATAAATAACAACAATTTTGCAAAAACATTAAAGAACATAAAAATATTATTCAATAAAATTTTAGGTTACTTTGAATTTTCGATTTCCTAGAAATGTACTTTTAAATCGCTACTTTTTTTGTTTAGTACTTGTACTTTTTACTCGTTACTTTTAAAAATGAGACCTTTTTACTCATTACTTTTTTTAAAAATACTTGTACTTTTACTCGTTACTTTTTAAAAGTAACATTGCCATGTAAGCTTAATTAGCAAACGTCCCTAACAATATCTTTTATGTATTTTAAAATAAAAAGCATCGGCAGTTTAATTTGTATCAGTACCTAATGCTAAACCTTTTAGAAAAATCCATTTTACAAACATTTCCCCCTTGCTAACTAATTGAAATTTCTGAATTGTTCTTAACATATGAGGCTAAAATTCTCTTGTCAAAATTTCATAACTTCACACACTCTTCCTTTATTGAGGTATTTGTAACTGTTTAACTGCTGTTTGCAAGTTCTGTTATTAACTGATAGGATTTCTATAACCTTTGACAGTTTTTTTCTTTTTAATTTTACTTAATGCAAAAAAATGTTTCTTTTTTCATACAGAGCTTTACACATGGTGCGTAGCATTTTTAAAAAGTGCTTAAAGGTGCTTATTTTCAATTTTTATTTTTTAAAAGCCCTTAACAGTGCTTTTTTCCTTGGGAATTATTTTGCATTTTGTTAATGTGTATAGTTCTTAAAACTATTTTATGGGTGCTTAAAAAGTGCTTTTTTTTGTTGAAAGTTTTGGCTATGCACCTTGTTTACTGCTACATAGATTCTTCACTCCCCAAGTGTGAATAATTTAAAATAATCTTTTATATCTTTTTTTATGTTTTTTTTTTAAATTTATCATTGAGATATTTTTATCAGTTAAATAATGTTGTTGATTTAAAATTATTAAGCTTCGGTTCAATTAGAGTTTTTTATTGATTTTTATGCAGGGTGCGTAGCTTTTTTAAAAAGTGCATAAAGGTGCTTATTTTCGTTTTTTAAAAGCCCTTAAAGGTGCTTTTTTCATTGGGTGTTTTTGAAAAGTGCTTAATTTTCCCTCTTTCAAAATTGAAAATTTTCTTTTACTATGTTGATTTTCGCTTCAAATTATGCAAATTATGCGTATTGTCAGTCCGTAGCGTATGAAAACGCCATTCGTTTTACACAATTCAAAATTTCATGATTTTTGAAAATTGTCAAAAACAATGCCAAAAAGTTTTTTTTTTGGACATGACGGTTAAAACAAGAAAAACTGTCAATTGTCAAAAATTTTCCAACCCTGCCTAATTAATGATATATTTTTAAAGTGATTAAAAATATTTTTTGGGTGCTTGAAAAGTGCTTAAAAGTTGCTTATTTTTTGTTGAATAATTTGGCTACGCAACTTGTTATAGATTAGCCAACATTTTTGATTTGCCGTCGTTTGTTTTATTTGTCTTGTTTATTTTATTTGCCTTGTTTATTTATTGCTGTCTTTTATTTGTTTCTATCAGTTGGCGAACATTGCTGACAGAACCATATTGGAAGCAGACAGTGATGGAGATCACATGATCTCATTTGAAGAGTTTTGTGCAACTTTGGAGAGAACAGACGTGGAAGAGAAAATGAGCATCAGATTTCTTCATTGATCTGAATCTTTGTTTTTCTACATTGAAATCATTTATTTTATATACACAGATGTAATCAAATTATGTATGGCTTAAAAAATCAGTATTTGTATAACACATTCCTATGCATAAATATATGTATATGAGATCTATAAAATTTGTCATCCTGTATATACAGAGTCTTCAAAATGCAAGTTAAAAGAGCTTTATTGAGTGAAAATGCTATGTTTCAAATAATGTCAATTTTCTTTACGGATACTTTTACTTTTATGTCACATTATTTTGCAGATATAATTTTAACTTTTTTTTTTGCTATTAATCTCTTGTTATGTGAATATATGAAATTAATGAGGAGTTTGCATTAATTGTTCTGTTTTTGTTCTATGCCAAGGAATTGCAAAAAAATTAATAAAAATCATTATGGATTATTTTTTGATCGATACTTGTTTTCTTTAAAAGTGTCAATTTCTATAAGATGTTTCTTGTGTTTCTTTCAAATATTTCAAACAATATAAATTTTCTTTAAGAATGCTCTTACTTTTAAATCATTTTATTCTACAGATGTGTATTTAAATTAAGTTTATTTTGTTTTTAATCTCTTTTTTAGATGAAGATATAAAAATCAATACTTATTTCCTTTAAAAAGTGTTGATTTCTCTAAGATATTTCTTGTTTCTTTTAATCCTTTTTTAGATGAAGATATAAAAATCTATACTTATTTCCTTAAAAAGTGTCGATTTCTTTTTTCCTCGTCTTTATTTTACTTTTAATTCCTTTTTAGATGAAGATATAAACATTGATACTTATTTTCTTTAAAAAGTGTTGATTTCTTAAAAGATATTTCTTGTTTCTTTTAATCCCTTTTTAGATGAAGATAGAGAAATCGATGCTTATTTACTTTAAAAGTGTTGATTTCTTTTAGATCTTGTTTTCCTTCAAATGTTTCAAGCACTATCAATTTTCTTTAAGAATGTTCTTTTAAATCATTTTATTCTATAATTTTGTAGAAATAAATTAAGTTTATTTTGCTTTTAATTCCGTTTTAGAAGAAGAAATAAAACTAATGTTTGTTTAAATGGTTTTGCTTTTTATTTTTGTTGTGTCGGCTAGTAACTGCAATTCTGAATTTCTGTCTGATCAATACTTGTCTTCTTTAATAGTATTAAGTTGCATTCTTTGAAAGAAATGTGTAAAAACTTAATCAGTATGCAATGCTGTCGCAAAATTAACAAAAGTTACGAAAAGCGGAGCTAAGTGTTTACTTTTGTATAGAAAGTGTTAAAAAAAAGGGTATTTATTATTCTATCACTGTAACAACTTTTAAATCCGGATTGTCAAAATTGTTCATTTTTCTTTCTACGTATGTTTTATTTAAAAATGTTAAATTGCTTTGTCTTTTTTTTTTCTATCAGACATATAGTGATTTAGAAGCTTAATTTGTTTTCGATTATTTGCCGAGTGCAGTTTTACAACTAAAATGAGTATAAATAGTCGCTTGATATTTGTATTTCATCGTCAAAAAGTTGCCTAAAAAAGCTTAATTGTGATGGATGTTAGATTCATAAAGTTATAATGTAAAAAGCTATTTGTTTATATTTTTATAGAGGCATTAAATGTGTTGTTACTATTGATAGAAATGGAAAGCTGTAATTGTAATTTCCATAGGGTGAAAATAACTTGCTAACTATTTTTTATCCTTTACTGATTGTAATGCTTTTAAATGCCTTCCTAAAAGACTTCAATTACCTTTTGATCTTTACCAAGGCTTAGAAGTGATTGAAAAAGGTCTTCAACTAGAACTTTATAAAATGTGCCTGTAAAATGTTTTTTTTTTTAATTTTTTTCCAATTCTTTCTTTTTGTGTTAATATTGATTGGTTCATTTTACAAATTTTAATAGTATTATGAGGCAGAGCAGAAATTTTGAGCTTGCTATTAGTTGCAAGAAATAGTTTTAAATTGTGGCAATTATTGTACGTGACACGACATGTCAGTTGTATTTCTTAGACCATACAATGCTACTAGTACCTTTACTCTTAAAATCTTTTAACACCTTATAAGTAATTTTAAGGAGTTAAAATAAGCTAGAAAAAAATCATTTAGATTATTTAATATTATTTAACACATGTTGTAAAATGTACCTGTATCACTTAGCAAATAGTAGATTTTTTTTTTGTTATAATGGTTGTTTTAATTAATAGTTTTCTCGTAGTTTGCTTTTGTAAGCAATATATTGAACTGTTTTATAATACACTAATTAAAGTTATTAATGCGGGGTGCGTAGCGTTTTTAAAAAAGTGCTTAAAGGTGCTAATTTTTTATTTAAGTAAAAGCCCTTAAAGGTGCTTTTTTTTATTCAGGGTTTGTAAAAAGAGCTTAATTTTCTATCTTTTAAAAAGAGATTTTTTCTTTGCCGTATCGATTGTCATTCTAAATTACAAAAAATGCATGATTTTCACGATTTTTTCTGCAATATTTATCAGAAAATATCACTGCATATATCCTAATTATGTTTTCTTTTTTGGAGAGTGATTCAAAATATTTTAGCTACGCATCTTGTAGTTGTTTAAATTAAATAAAATTAATAAATTAAAGAAATGCAATAGTTTATAGATAGAAGTAACTTTTGTAAAAGTATACTGTTGAAAAATGCAATAAAAAAAATCGTGTTTTCTTAAGTTCTGTTTCCATGAAAAGTATTAAAAAAATTTATAGCAACTAAAACAACTCTGAAATCTTTGTACGCGACTAATATGCTTTCCTTAATTAATGTAATTTCTTATTTTTTTATACAATTTATTGTAAGTGAAGAAAAAAAAATTAACTGAAAATGCCTTTAAATTGATTTGAAAGTAAAAATTGAAATTAACCTGAATGAGCTGTATCCATGTATCAATTTATAATTGCATCTTTAATATGTTATCTTTTTAAAACTTAGTTCTGATGGTTTCTGTTTTTATAATTTAATTTATCTTTATATTATAAGTATATGCTAAATTGCATTAAATTTTGTTGAGAAATTTTTAAAATATCAAATGCTTTTTTAAATGATATTATAGAAACAATGTACTATTACTACATGTAATTGCTTTTCTTTAAAAGAATGTTTAAATGTTGCGCTATGTTTTGATTTAAATGTTTGATGTATAGAAGTGCCGTCAAATTTAATTTGGCTAAATATATAAATGCAGACATTAACATTGTCAAAGGAAGTTGTACTGGGCAATTATTTTTATAATACCTATGAGTGTTTAATATTTGCTGAAATTTAATCAGTGTAGAAATTATATTGTGCTTTTAGTTGTAAATTTTGTTTAATATTGGTACCTGTGCATATTATTTACTTAGTCAAGTTTTTATAAAAATTCTATTGATATGTTACTTATGAAATAAAATCATCTAATGCTTTTACTTCACTAAAGAGTTTTTATTTTCTTAGCCTTAGTCTGTATAACATTTACTGGGTTTACATTTAAAAAAGAAAAAAAAAATAGAATTTTTTTACACTGTTATTTTGCCAATTATTATTTTGTTGTTTTAAGATTACTTTTAGTGCTTACAAAGCACAATTTTTTTATGGCCCTGTCGATGCTTGATTGAAACTTTTTTTTATTCGAGTTATGCATTGTTTTCTAATTTATTATACTCCAACACAAAGTAATATATTTTATGGTATGGTTATGGTTTAGTACTTTATGGTACTGGTATATTTTATGGACTTCCTCTCTAATTTTAGGGTAAAAATCTGTCTTTCAAAAAAAATTTTGTTGTTGTCTGATTTCATATCAAATGTGCGAATTCCAGTGAATTTTTCCATAAATTTTCAAGAAGCAGCAAAAAATGTAGATTTTTTTCTTTCTTAAACTGGCGCTTTAAAAAATCTGGCCAAAATGTTTTCTCCTTTAGGCCACTTTTTCTTAGACCACTTTTTATGTTGCTAACCCTCAATTATTAGTTTCATTAGACTTCCAGTAACTCAAATTCAATCTTAACATGGTTGAAAAGATTTCTACTTTCTCTTAATAAAAAAAAAATTTTTTTTTGACGGATTCGAAATGAATTTTTTTAAATTGTAATGATCTAAATCGGATTCAGGTATTTTAAACTGCATTGCTTAAGGAGGAACAACCGCAGTAAAAGTTTCAAAAGACTTGCGATTTTTGATAATTTATCCTTTTAAGATTATTGTACACAAAATATTGAACTGTTTTTCGTAAAAATGTAAAAGTAACAGCAATGTCAATCATGGCACGCGGTGTGGGATGCCTAATAAAATGTGCTTTCGCACTTAATTGATTAATAGATGTGCTCACTCATACATGGATTATTGATCACAAAATTTTAAATGCAATTTACTCGAAATGGCGTTTCTCTTACTTGCAGTAAATCCAACTAACACAATTTTCAACCAATTAGCTTCATGTTTTGACACTATGTTCACAATAAATATTGTTCTCTCTGCGGATAAAATTTTTTTAATGGGGTTGACTGATTTTGAGTAATCCACGGAATTGAAACATGTTTCAGGTCATTTTTTTTTTTTAGAATTTTTTTGTAAAAAATTACTTTTTTAAAAATCGTGTAAGTGTGACGAAAACTACGTTTAAGTTATAAATAATTTCAAAGATAAGATAAAAACATTTTACTATACATATATTTATTTTTAAGTTGTAATAATAATATAGATAAAAATTTATGTATAATTTTTGAAAATTTTGTATTTGCAACATGATAAAATGAAGATTCACAAATGTTCAGTGCACAAAATTAAAAATGAACCACAGAGTGTAACTTTTGATCTAATGATTGGATCTTTACGTATTAGGACTTGATGGTTCAAGGAGGTAACCTCAAATATGCTAATTAATTCGTGCATACAATATTTTAAGTTGCGTCATCAGACACATAAACGCACTTTCTCTGAATAAACATACTTTTTTTTCCAGATTTATGACCCCCAAAATATATTTTATAACCGTCGTTGAACAGCCGACCAAATTTTATGGGTTTACGACTACTAACGTTCAACTCTGTAGCCTGGTAATTTTGAACCAATCCAGGAGACAAGAGAAATCCTAGATCAATACCCCCAGAGGTATTGATTTGTTATGAGTACAGTCCGCAAAAAAAAAAGAAAAAAAAGATATCACCCTGAATAACTTTCGTTCTAATGATCGGATTTTCACGAACTAAAAGTCAATCTTAATGGTTCCCGGGGGTGACCTCAAATATGCTAATTAATTAGTGCTAACTATTAATTAAGTTACGAAATCAGACACAAAAACGTACTTTCTCTGAATAAACAT